TGTATGCACCTGGCAAACTCAACTATTTGTATTACAGTCTAATCTAGTCCACCTTAATTAAATGTAAACAGGTAGGCACTGCTGTGCTACTACAGGTATTTTGAACAATGCAACTTGCAATTGTACTAAAAAGTTGTGTAGACCCTTCAGCAATTGGGACATTTGAAAGTAAATTACTGTTCAATTTAAATTAAATTATATAAAACATGTAGTCTTACATCTAGGGATGCACCGAAATGAAAATTCTGGGCCGAAACGGAAACCGAAAATTCTGGATGCACTTGGCCGAAAACTGAAACCGAAAATGCTTTGTAATGATTGTTTATTATTTTATAATATAATATAAAGTAATTTTGTAAGACTTTTTAAATGTAACTCAATTTTAATGATGAATATAAAAATGAATGAATATAAAAAAAACCAAGCCAATAAAATAACCACACTTTCACTGAAAATAACACAATAAAACTGGACAGAATTTATATTAATATTGGTAACACTTTACAATAAGGTTTATTAGTTAACTACTTTAGTTAATTAACTAAGAATGAACAATAGCTCTTCAGCATTTACGAATCTTAGTTCATGTTGTTGTTGTTGTTGTTGTTGTTGTTGTTGTTGTTGTTGTTGTTGTTGTTGTTGTTGTTGTTGTTGTTGTTGTTGTTGTTGTTGTTGTTGTTGTTGTTGTTGTTGTTGTTGTTGTTGTTGTTGTTGTTGTTGTTGTTGTTGTTGTTGTTGTTGTTGTTGTTGTTGTTGTTGATGTGCTGGACCAACAAATCCGATCCTTGGAGGCTCCTCCTGGTAGCTTGCAAGATTTAAAGGATCTGCTGCTAATATCTTTGTGCCAGATACCACATATGTTTAGAGGTCCTGTAGAGTCCATGCCTTCATGCATCAGAGCTGTTTTGGCAACACGAGGGGGACCTAGACAATATTAGGCTGGTAGTTTTAATATTGTGGCCGATCAGTGTATATTGTGATAATGTAATTTTCATATTGGACGACAGGAATCTATTCTTTGGTCTTACAGTTTTGAATGACATCTTTAAAACCAACAATGATAACCACTGCTAGAGAAACCACACATTTGTATAGCTGGACCTTTGACTCAAAATGTTCCAGCTATTGAGATACAGCCCTTGTTAAAACGTCCCCATGTGTCATCTAACCCATGTCTCCAATATTATATTGTTAATGACAACATCAATATATAATATTGGTCTGTTAAAAGTATTTTTTATATTTCACAAATCGTAGATGATCACTTGACATATATACATATATCTGCATATGCATCTTCCCTCATGTATTAACGTGCTTTGTTAGATATAATCGGATGCAGTGAGTTTGAATGCTTGAGCAGCAGTTTGTGTATTAAGAGATTAGCACAGGTTACAGGATAAAGGACGCAGACACACTGGGCTTTCACTGTGCATGCTGCCATCAATCATCATCCTTCATTATCTGTATCTGATATCCAGCTATTTATGTATGTAAGAAAGTCGGTGCATGTCTACCTGGCTCATGCGATTTTGCATATCTTTCTGCTTGCTTATTATGTGCATAAATGCACCTGAATGCTATTGTGTAGATGTGTAGATGTTTGAAAGAAAGAATCAATAAAAAGACAGAAGCGGGGAAATACAGTATGCATCTAGTTCCACAAAATATCACTACACGACAAAACGGTTCAAAATGTCAGATTTTATTAGACCTGACCATTTTCTGACAGTTCTGCGAGTGCAGTACAGTGTTTCATAGCAGAGCACTGAGCATCATCTACACCATCTTTTAACACTTACAATGCATTTAATTCCATGCTGAATGCAAAACAAAAAAGGCTTAATGACAGTGAAGTATTTATGTTTACAACATGCAATTAACATTGGATGAGAAAATAATAATGGAGAATATGAAAATATGAAATTGTGTTTCTTCAGATATATTATATATTTTATAATATATATTTTAATTAATAATTTCCAGCATTAAATCATTTGATTGTCCACACTGCAAGCGAAAATACTGTTGATTCAAAACCTATTAGAACATACTTAATATACAGTACAGCAATGTGGAGGTTGATTATAGGCCAGTGAGATTTCTTTATGGGCGGGGCTACCCAGTGTGAAGCTAAAGACATAGAAACCAATTAAAACTGTGTCCTAGTATTTGTGAAGGTCATGGCTGGTTAAAACAAAAACTTTGGAAGAGAAAGTTTTATCTTCTCACGCCTGGGTAGTATACTGTGTAAGATTCAGATGATTAGAAGGGGCTTACCCTTGTGAAAAAGAAGTTCACTTCAGCATACTTTTAAAAAGAGTACTTATTACAGAAATAATATACTTTAAAAGAATTTACTTAAGTGCAAATTGAATGTAATGTTTTTGGGTATTTAACTGCATGTTATTTACAATTAAATGAAAATATAGTTTAAATTTATGTTGCAATTAGTAATTTACGAATGCTTTTTTTGATCCACTTAAGTACATCTTTATATGTAATTTCATAATTACATAGAGTTGTCCATGGTTAAAGTGTGTTAAATGTACTGACAAATATTCATGGAAAACTAAAACATACTTTAATGTAATTTCTTTTGAAACATATATGTCATGTATTTAAATGTATGCGTAATTACACTCTTGTAATGATGAAGTTTCAAAATTAAAATCAAACACTTTACACATGCTTCAGTAGGCTAGTCAATGCATCAAAATAAGTGTACCTCTGTAAAGCATGAAAAAACCTAACCTGACATTATAACAAAGTGCACTTTTTAAAAGTGTACTTAAGAAACATTATGAAAGTTGACTAAGTACACTTAAGTGGCCTTTTATTTTATTAATGTTATATTACCTGCAAGTACAGGTTTTTTTTAAATATACTTTTAAGATTTGAAGTACACTACAAGTGCACATTCACTACAGTTAAGCGCACTTCTTTTTCACAAGGGTATTGATTTGCATCTTTCTGTTATTCCAATCATTTACATACATCCATGTGGCAGCATAGTATTACAACATAGAATATATTTCACAATCAGCCTCTTTTAGGTGTATGACATGATTTTGTAAATGGGAAGAAATAAAATAGAACTTTCTGTTAAGAAACTGCTCAGTCATTCAAATATTCAACCATTCATGGTGGAAATGTTAGCATAATGCTAGTCATTTCCCAGGCATAGCTGCACCAAGTTCCCCTGACAGGAATGAACAGACGTTTACTCACCCCAAGACTAACAATATCATATGTTTGCCATAAATAATTTGTTAATTTATTTTAGAAACAACCATTTTAGTGTATTAATGAAGTATACAACTCTTTGAGATGTAGGTCATTAAGACTGATATATAAAAATACCAAAACGTAAATTATTTGATTAGTTGTCAGCACTCTTGGCCTCCAACTGGAAACATTTCAGTGGTCAGATAAATCTGACTCTTTAGCTGGTGGTTGTTCCAGTGGCCCCTGCTTCCGGTTTGGCTTCAGGAGGTGTTACCTGGTTCAGCAACAGGAGCTTCAGCACAGGATCCATGTACCCCATGAAGGTCTCTTTCACTCCCTTCTCAAGCAAGTAGCCCTCGGTTTCAATCTCCACATTCTCTTGTCCAGCAACAGCCTCCATAGACGTCTGCAGGAGGCGCACACTGGCCAACACTGAGCTCTGTAGAAAAAATGCAATTGACATAGAATATGAGAAAATGGATGAAAATAGCTGGTTTGTAGAAGTAAAATCTGGTCTAATAAACCTGTCATTGCATATTTTAAATGTTGTTCACTCTTTGATGAATCGCTTTTGTTGTTCACTTTGGATAAAAGTGTCCGCTAAATGTGCAAATGTAAATAACATATGCAAGCCTACAAAAAAATACAAGTAAATATACATGCATGTGGAAATCTATGTAAGCTATTAACTTTTGGAACTTTGGGGGGTTATTTCCCATATTACGGGTTTAATTATACAATTGATATTATGTAGTAACCTACCCTACCACACAAAATATATCATTTGCTGTATTGCAATTTACTAGTGTTTGTTTGTTTGTTTTTTCTAACTGGTTGGCAAAAATACATTTCAGTCACTGTAATTAATGCTATGCAATAAATTATGCTAAATCTGTAAAGCTGCATTAACTAACATTCATTAAAATTATCAATACATTTGTTACAGTATGTTAATGTTAGTTAATAAAAATACAACTGTTCTGTTAGTTCATGTTAGATCAGATCCATTAAATAATATTAACAACTACAAATTTTGATTTTAATAATGTGTTAGTAAATGTTGAAATTAAGAAACTAAGATTAATAAATGCTTAGAACAATATTTGGTAACATTTTAGTATAGGGACCAATTCTCACTATTAACTAGTAGAGAGAGAGAGAGTCTAAGAGTTCTAAGACAGGGAGACAGCTGTCTTAACCGTGGCTTGTGTACTGCACACATACCAGCTTCATCACTGTATCTGTCACACGACTCTGTTCCCCTTTCGGGCTCTGTCTTTACATTTATTTTGAAAGCTGAAGCTCGCGATTATGGTAAGGGCCGTTACATTTCCGACGAGTGCTTGCGGTGTTCGGCCAATCACAATGCACTGGGTCAGCTGGCTAATCAGAGCAGACTGCGCTTGTCGGAAGGAGGGACTTTGTAGAAAACGAAGCGTTTGAGAGAGGCGGGGCATAGAGGACCTACAATAATGTACAGTATTTGAAAAATAATGTGTTTTTTGAACATTAAAGCATGTCAACATATTCTGTTACACCAAATACACAAAATAATGATCTTTAAAAAGCATCATATGACCCCTTTAACAACTACCTTACTAACTATTAATAAGCAGAGAATTAGGAGTTTATCGAGGCAAAAGTTGTAGATAATGGTTTGTTAATAGTGAGAATTGGACCTTAAAATAAAGTGACACTTTATTCATTGTTAGTTCATGTTAAATAATGTAGTTAACTCATGTTCACAAATTGAACCTTATTGTAAAGTGTTCCCAAATTTAGCTTTTGTAGCATATGATACATGGTACAAGGAATTCAAGGGAACTAAACTGGCACATTAAATTGTCAACAAACTAACTGATCTTAGACGGGGTAGTATATTTGATGTGACTGAAAACAAACCGGTGGTCTGTTCAATGTCTCCTCAGTGGGTTATACTGTCTTGAAAGGTGATTGAAGAAATGTATGTCTATCCCTTGGAGTCTCATTTTCATTTATGCCAAAATAAATATAGATTATACCCTGATGGTCCAAGGTCCATTGTCTACACGCAAACTTTTAACAGTGTACCTGAAGACAGACAGAACTGCAGCTCCAATAGTGTTCATCAGCCCCATGTAATAGTTGACCAGAGCTTCTCTGCAACCACGAATGAAGATGTTGAGTTCTTCGGTCTGGTGGTCGTAGTTGTAGTGGGCGGTGTTGTTGGTGATTTTGTACTGGATACAGGGTCTGGGAGAACTAGGGTTACAGCAACTGAAGGGCACACCGTCAACCAAGTAACGACCATCTACATTGCTCTTAATGCGGCTGGAAGACTGAGAAGGAAATGGAAGAAAAGAACCTTGAATCATTGCAAACTGTTATGAGATTGCTACTCATAAAGTTACCAATAGTTCACTTAAAACGTTCTTACTTCATGCTTTTAATTTCATTGTACTCCATATGTACTCCAAGTCCATATTTGAACTTGGTATTAGAATTTTTCTTTTGTGATCAGGGACCATATTCACAAAACATCTTAAGGCTAAAAGTAGCTCATAACTCGCCGATTTAGGAGAAAACCTTAAAAATAATGGGCGTGTCAGTCCTACATTTAGGACTCCTACATTTTTGCTCTAAGAGTATTTCACAAAGCTTTTTAGCGCTAAAACTAGCTCCTAAATCTGTGAAACGTTAGGAGTAGTGAAGAGGACTCCTAAGTCACTAAGACCAAGTCACAAACTATCCTAAAATGGCTGTTGCCGGCAGTCTGCCTCGGAACAGAAACATTTTAGAAACGTTTGACAGTAATGAGCTTTTAAAAATGTGTTGCCTTAATCGCGAGGATATTATGACTGTTGTTTTCATTAACAAGTTGGGCAAGAACTAACAGCTGTTCTTGCATTCAGTTTGGTTTTCTTTTACATTTACATGCCTCACTATCAGCCATGATTATTCTACTCCGTTAATTAAAAGGCTGTTTTCTACTCTGTTCATTAAAAAGCTGTTTATATGCATATCCGCTAATTGTTTACGAGGAGCACACATGTAAGCGGCTGACAATTAACTGAACATATACTTGTTTAATTAGTGACACTTAGCCTGCATTTTAAAATCTTTATTTGAATGTGCATATGTTTCATTTTTAAACTTTTATCTGAATATGGCAACATAATATCGCGCTCTACAATACTCTACAATTCTATTAATAAACCTCTGACAGAGACCCCTCCCCTATCAGCCAATCACTGTGTGCATAGTTAGTAAGCTTGCTAACATCATCCATAGCAACGAGGTCAACCCTGCCCTTACTCTTATCATAAGACTTCTCTCTATATATGACCCCTTTAAGAGAAAACTCTTAGCTAAAAACTTTTACCTCTATTTAGGAGAACTCTTAGTGGTAAGATAAAATGTTTTGTGAATACGGGCCCTGATAACAAGTCATCAGCCAAGACACTTTTCACACCAGATATTAACATGATTCTTAAATGCATTTTTGTAAACACTTGTGGTCATTTTTTGTGGTTGGTCTCAGATTTTGTGACTATACTGAATATATGAACGGTTTTGGACACTTAAGACACTCTTAACAATCATGAATGACATTGCGTTAGATTATAAAATAAATGATGCTAGAGCTTTTCCCAGAACTAACTGAGCCATATTCGTCTGAAAGTGATTTATAATGGATGTATGAAGTATTAAGTTCTCCTCAAGTGTCTTAAATAGAGCAAATAGAGATGGTAAATGGATAGTCAACCCAAAAATGAAAATTCTCTCATTTACTCACCTTCATGTTGTTCTAAACCAGTATACATTTCTTTACTTGGTAACACTTTAGTTTAGAGACCAATTCTCACAATTAACTAGTTGATTATTACTGTCGCATGCATATTTCTAGCATATTTGCTATTTATTAGTACTTATAAAGCACATATTAATGTTTTATTCTGCATGACCATATTTTAGATCCCTCAATCTTACCCCATAAACAAATTGTGTTTATTGAAGCAAAAGTCGTAGTTAATAGTTAACAGTGAGAATCGGTCCTCAAACTAAAGTGTGACCCTTTATTCTGTTGAAAATAAAAGAAGTGGAAACATTCTTCAGAATATGTTCTTTTGTGCTCTGCAGAAGAAAGTCATACACATTTGGAATGGCATGAAGGTGTGTAAATTATGACACTATTTTCATATTTGAATGAACTACTGTATCCTTTTAATACTTTGAATTGACATTCCCATTGACTCACTCCTTAACTTCCTTAGAGCTGAAATCCAGGTAACGGTTGCTGATCCACTGCACCTCAAACCAATCCCTGTAGTCGTTATTACCACAGCACTGGAACTCCATCTGAAGGCGATCAATGGTCTGCTTCTGGAAGCAGCGGCCTGGAGTGTCGGTGTCCTTGTAGAAGCGGATACCGTTCTTCAAGCCGATTTTCAGGGAGGTCTCCAGGCTGCCCTTCATGGCGTAACTCAAGATGACTGAAATCAGCATGAGGGTGGTGAAGAATATTGAGCATCCAAAATAGGGCTTCAGGAAGGTCTTCCATCGTTGAAAACGCCCAGGATCTAGGGCATCCTGGCAGATTCGACTGGCAAAGTAATTGATGCCCATCGAAGCAAGACCCACAATCATCAAGGTATTGGGCACACAGTGGATGACTGTGTTGTCCATTACCTAAAGGAAAAGATGTTGATGTCAGTCCATTTTTATTTATTATTTCAGTTAAAGTTTATTCAAATGTATTTTAATTCAACCGTAACCCTAACCCAATAAACAAATGTTTTTGTTTTGTTTTTTTTTTCAGTTAAGCCTGGCTGTAAGGCTCTTTTACACGGAATGAACTGATTAACTTGCCATTGCATATATATTAGGAATCCGTGTATCATTCGATCATTCGTTTTTTTAAGACAGGTCTTTCTTCTGTGTAGACCAGCAGTTCTTAAAGTGATAGGGGGTCCAAGAAATAATTTGCTATAGCCTAAAGTATTTCCAGACTATAAAGTCTTTTTTTTTTTTTATCATGATACATAGGCCTACCGGGATTTATTCCAAAGTGACTTATATGATGCATTTAATGTAAAATTATCTAAATTAAGCCTTTTAAAAGACGAACATTTGACTGTTTGTTTGATGAAAAAAAGATTAAATGTAGTTGCAATAAATGCGTTAAGAATCCATACAACTGCAGCAGTGGAGGACTATTATTTTGCTGCAGAAGAACTGATGACGGCACTGTTTGATCTCCGGCTGACCAATCAGCAGAAAGGGGCGTTTAAATCCCGCCCACATGTAGAAATCAAATATTCAAGCTGTTTATTCATTTTTCCACCCATGAACGAAAAACGAAAATTTAAGCTGAATTCTCGTTTCTCGTTTTTTGGAAAAAAATGAAAAAGGAGCCGTTTTCTCATTTTTCTACTTTCAATATTAAATCAAAAAACGAATGATCGAATGATACACGGATTATTAGGGTAAATCAGAATCATTCTCATTTTTGGACTGGTCATTTAAGCCCCGTTTTCATTAGTGCGTTTTCGTTTTAAAACGGTGTTGAAAATGATCCTCGTCTACACTGGCGTTTCCGAAACGATCTCTGTCTACACTACACAACCGAAAACACATGTCACGTGACCATTCATGCAGCTACAACCATAGATATGTATAGGTGGATCCCTATTATTTAGTTGGCGGATGCGTCTACGTGCTTGGAGCAGTCAAATGGGGAATCAACCTATACACATCTATGGGTACAGCAATGAGCATGATGTTATTGTTTACATGGTCGTCAAGGATAAGCGCGAATGAGGGCAGCCACGCCATCGTTTTCAAAAGTCTCCGTTTTGGTCCGTTTACACTGAAACGTAACCCCGGAGTTCCCTCTCGAGCGTTCACGAGACATTTCTCCGTTATGGGAACTCCTTCCCTTCCAACCTTTCCTGAAGTCCTATTGGCTCACGCCAGTCCAAATGACTGGCCAATTGTTGCGAAGTATGCAAATCGCATGCAAATACTGACGCACTCGAGAGGCAGTATAAAATGCAGTACACGCGACAATTACGTCAGAATTGTCCTTCACTTTGTTGAATAACCTAAGAATATGGCTTATAAACTATTACAGCTCACAGTTAAGGTTCGCTCATCAGAGGGCGGTGCCTGGATTGCCGCTCCTCTGCAGCGTTCAGGTGAGTATGACATTTTTCTTCAGATGCCAGATGAGTCCGTCTGCCCTCTATCAGTGGTGGACCTTAAGGGCTCTGGTGATGAGCTCATGCCGACAAAATGTCTGCATTCCTCTCACCCATCGAACCTGCAGGACATCAGCCTGGCTTCTCATGTCCCCCTTCTATGGCGGAGCGGAGTGCCGAGTGCAGATACTGGAGCTAAAGGTTTTCATGTCGCCGCAGATGCCACACGACCCACTGTCTAAAAAGTGTGCAGCTCCCCGCCTCAGAGCAGCATTCTGCCGTGTGCAAAGCACAATCACTGGCTCCTCACTCGTTCACACGATACCAGCCCCTCATCAGCGGCTACCGTGTTTGGAAGACACTGCTCACTCATTCACACGATACCAGCCCCTCATCAGCAGCTGCCGTGTTTGGAAGACACTGCTCATTCATTCACACGATACCAGCCCCTCATCAGTGGCTGCCGTGTTTGGAAGACACTGCTCTCTTATTCACACGATACCAGCCCCACATTAGCGGCTGCCGTGTTTGGAAGACACTGCTCTCTCATTCACATGATACCAGCCCCACATCAGCGGCTGCCGTGTGTAGAGGACTCCGCTCTCTCACTCATTCAGGGCGATATGCAGCCCCCGCTTCAGTGCGGCGACAAGCGCTTCAGTCACTTACCCACTCACCAGCAGTAAAGCGGCAAGGAGTCACCTGATGCCCCTGCACAGAAAAGCGCACGAAGGCAAGGAGTCACCTGATGCGACTGTATGGAAAAGTGCGCAAAGGCGAGGAGTGACCTGATGCCCAGGCGCGCGTCTTATCAGCCTTCCAGATTTCGCTGGACTATTACGTCAGTTGTTCACGCCCCTACGCCGCCGCCCACACTGGTTAAAAAGTGCGCCATGCACAGCAATGAGCCTCGTTATGCCGAGGTGCGCTTTCCAGCAGCAGACTGCGAGATCGAGGTCTTCTTTGGCGCACGGTTCATCGCAGTGTAGGGACACCAGGCCCGCGACCGCCGCTGCCAGGAGCCGGATGTGTGGAGAAAAGTGTAAAGGAACCCGGGAAGAGGCACTACGGCAAGCGGAGGAGCTCGCGCCGTGACTCCCGCCCACCGTCAGCTGCCAAGCCGTCGTCCTGACAGCCCAGAGAGGAGGGAAGGGTAGCCTACGCGATCGGCCCAGCCCCCAAGCTGTCTCAAAATTGTTCAAATTTGTGTTTGATGTGTGTGTGGGATCATTTAAAAATGCATACATGTCCACAAAAGAGCTCTTTCCTCCTCACTCAGTCAATGTAGCGCCGCTTGCCCCGCCTCAGAGCGGTGCAGAGCCGCTGCTCACATATGTTATAGCCGCGCAGCACTCGCCGCCGCATCCAACGACCAAGCCGCTAAAGCCGCTATGTCAGTTCCTGAGCGCATGGAAAACTATTCCGGGAATCTCGTGCTGGTTACTCGGTGTGATAGAGCGTGGGTACGCACTTGAATTCAGACGCAGACCACCCCGTTTCAACGACGTGGTAAAGTCTCTAACATTGCCTCGAAATGCCCTGGTTCTGAGACAAGAGGTATGCAACCTGCTCGAAAAAGGAGCGGTAGAACGAGTCCCTCCGAGCGAGCTGGAGAGCGGGTTTTACAACCGCCATTTTGTGGTGCCCAAGAGAGATGGAGGACTCCGCCCGATTCTAGATCTCAGGCCCATCAACAGAGCACTCTGCAAGCATGCGTTCAGGATGATAAAACAGATCCTGGCGCGAATTCGTCCCGGTTACTGGTTGCGTCCGTGAGTTTAAATACTTTCACATTCAGATAGCAGCGCATCACAGACGCTTACTGAGATTTGCTTTCGAGGGCACAGCGTACCAGTACTCTGTTCTCCCATTTGGGCTGGCTTTGGCACCGCGCACTTTCTCGAAGTGCATGGACGCAGCTCTCGCCCCCCTCAGAGTGAGCGGGATGCGCGTTCTCAATTATTTGGATGACTGGCTGATCTTAGCTGAGTCACGGGACACACTATAGACAGCCATATAGACTGTTTCGTCACTTGGAGTTCTTGGGGCTATGTGTGAATGTGCGTAGGAGCATTCTCGCCCCTTGTCAGTCTATAACGGATCTGAGAGTGTGCTTCGACTCGGTGGAGATGCGTGCTCACCTCTCTCGGGAGCGCTCGGCAGCCATTTTGTCTTCCCTGCACCATTTCAGACTGGGCAGCTCTGATCACTTGAAGTAATGTCAGAGGCTGCTGGGACTCATGGCAGCGGCATCAGTATGTCATCTGGGTTTACTACACATGCACCAGCTGCAGTTATGGCTGAAATCTCGAGTCCCTTGGATGGCGTGGACTTCGGACAGTTTGCACATCGCGGTCTCCCGCGGCTGCATCGAAGGCAAAGATCTCTTCAGCCGGGGGGTTCCCCTGGGCTTGATGACATCACGTGTCGTGGTCACGACGGATGTGTCGACTCGCAGATGGGGAGCAGTGTGCGAGGGCATGCCGGCTTCAGGGCTGTGATCAGAACCTCAGAGCCGGTGGCACATAAACCGCTTGGAGCTGGAAGCAGTGTTCTTAGCTCTAAAGGATTTTCGGCCGCAGCTGGAACAGCGACATGTACTGATTTGCACCGACAACGTCTGTGGTGTCGTACATAAATCACCAAGGGGACATACGATCCAAGGCTCGGTACAAGCAGGCAGCGAATCTCCTGCTATGGACGGACCGTCACTTTCTCTCCATCAGAGCAGCGCACATCCCCGGTCTCCTGAACCGTGGGGCAGAAATGCTTTTGAGGAAGGGGATTCCTCAAGGAGAGTGGAGGCTGCATCCCGAGTCAGTTCGGATGATTTGGACCCGCTAGGGGAGAGCGGAGGTGGATCTGTTCGCCATGAGCGAGAATGCGCGCTGCCCGCTGTTCTTCTCCCTGTCTTACTCCCGGCTGGAAGGGGACGCTCTGACATCGCGCTGGCCAGCAGCCAGGTTGTATGCATTCCTCCGATCAAGATAATGCAGCTGGTGATATGCAAGATCAGGGAGGAGGAGGCTTCGGTGACACTCGTCGCCCCGAACTGGCCGAACCAGCCTTGGTTCCTGGAGCTGACAAAGCTGCTGGTGGCGCCACCCTGGCCGATCCCCATCAGGAAGGATCTGCTGTCTCAAACGAGCGGCTCGGTGTGGCACCCCAACCCGGAGTTATTGAGCCATCATGTGTGGCTGCTTCGGGGATATCAGAGGAGCTGACATCAACACTGAAAGTCTATGTGGCCGCTATTGCCTCGTTTCGTTCCCCGCTGGGCGGGCAATCGATCGGTAGGCACGCGCTGGTGGTGAGTGTTCTTAAGGGGGCGAGGAGGTTGCATTCCCCGCGTCCGCCTTCAGTTCCGCCCTGGGACCTAGAGGTGGTGTTAAGAGCTCTTTCACAGCCACCATTCGAGCCTTTAGCATCCGTTAATATGAAGGAGTTATCTCTCAAAACTGCACTTCTTCTTGCCCTCGCTTCGGCTAAGCGCATAGGGGATTTACATGCGTTTTCTGTGGACAGTGACTGTATTCGCTTCGGACCCGGTGACTGCAGCGTCACTCTCCGGCCGAGGCCGGGCTACGTGCCTAAATCACTATCTACCCCCTTCAGAGCGCAGACTGTTTCGCTGTCTGCCCTGTCTTCTGAGTCACCGACCTCGCGTGATGTGGACACTCAGATTTCGGTGTGCCCCATCAGGGTTTTGAGGATTTTCATTGACCGTTCGGCCAGCTTTCGACAATCTGACCAGCTTTTCGTGTGCTACGGTGGTTGTGCGAAGGGCCGGGCCGTGTCAAAAAGGAGGCTTTTGCACTGGATTGTGGACACTTTCACGGCTGTTATACAAGCCAAGGTTTGGAATGTCCTTTGCACATTAGGGCCCACTCAACAAGAGCTATCACCTCCTCGTGGTCGAGAGGTATGTCTATTCAGGATATATGCTTTGTAGCCGGCTGGTCTCAATCTGACCAGCTTTTCGTGTGCTACGGTGGTTGTGCGAAGGGCCTGGCCGTGTCAAAAAGGAGGCTTTCCCACTGGATTGTGGACGTTAACACGGCTGTTATATGAGCCAAGGTTTGGAATGTCCTTTGCAGATTAGGGCCCACTCAAAAAGAGCTATCGCCTACTCCTGGTCATGGTCGAGAGGTATGTCTATTCAGGATATATGCTTTGCAGCCGGCTGGTCTTCTCAGAATACCTTCACCAGGTTTTACAAGCTGGACGCTCAGTCCTTAGCCTCCCAAGTGCTGCCGGTGAGTGACTGATTCACGTTTATGCTACCTTTATTCATGTGTGTTTGTGTGTTTGCTGCCTCGCACAGTAATTACTCTGCGCAGCCCTATATGCTATTGTTGCTGTTGTCTGCCCTGTACTCAGTGCAGCTACTGCTATTCAGTGTCTAATTCGATTGGTGTACCATCATCACCTTATGCCCCCCCTCACAATACTGTGATTGTTGTTGCTTCTGCCCTGTTTCTCAGCGCAGCATACGTAATCACTGACCAGATATGCAAATTTCGTATACCTGGGCTTTAGACGGTCATTGGCTTGTCTCCACCTATCAGCTGCAAGCCCGCCTAACAAGCATTGCTATTGGTTGTGGGAATTCTGTGTTCTATCTTCGCTGAGTATGTGACTTGTACAAGCTGCTCGTAGCCTCTCTCACGGCGGGATTGAATATCGTTCCCATAATGGACAATCCATCCGTGATGTCTCGTGAAAGCTCGAGAGGGAACGTCTCCAGTTACTATCGTAACCTCGGTTCCCTGAGAGCGGGAACGAGACATCACGGAGGTCGCCGTGTTCGCTGCTCGACCAGCTAAGCGGCGTTCAGTATCAGATAGCGTGCACCGCATTTTATACTGCCTGCGATTTGCATACTTCGCGACAATTGGCCAGTCATTTGGACTGGCGTGAGCCAATAGGACTTCTGGAAAGGTTGGAAGGGAAGGAGTTCCCATAACGGATAAATGTCTCCGTGATGTCTCGTTCCCGCTCTCAGGGAACCGAGGTTACGATAGTAACCGGAGACGTTTTCAAACTAAAGCGGGGTCTGCAGCATTTTCAAAAGTCTCCGTTTTCGAGGGTGGAAAACGCCAGAGTAATGTAAACAATAGGCATAACCGTAGCAAAAGGTATGTGTCTTAAAACGAAAACGCACTAGTGTAAATGGGGCGTTAAGGGTGTACTCACACTAGGCACGGTTGCCACTCCCCCACTGGCCTGCACTCACACTTGCACTAAACTTTCCGGGCCGGAGCACGCTTACGTCATGTGCGAGATAACGGAGAAACCCACTTTCGTTAATATTCTGCCTTATAAATTTGTAATTTATGCCGTGCCTTGATTTCACTTGTATGTATCATTATTACGGAGGCAGCTGACCTTAATGAAAGAATCTGCAGCTTTAAATCGCAGACTAATTCCAGTTCATCAATAAGGTGAGAACCATGCCCATTATAAACGTAAATATACTTGATTGAATTAAATTAATTTAAAAGTGCAGTGTAGTAGTAGTAATAGAATATGTTTGCGGTCGTAATGATGACAGTAGCGCACACAAAATAGTATCTGTTCCGTGCTCCGGCGTGGTTAGCACTCACACTGCATGCGTACCGCGCCCGAGCCCAACCGAACCGTGCCCTGGCCCACCTCTTCCAACCGGGCCAGGGCTATGACGTTATTTTACTGACAAATGTCGAGAGCGCATTTATTGTAGCGCGAAAGCACATTAATACAATGCGGATGCGCGCGCTCAGATACACGCTGCTCTCGACCGGAGAGAGTGCGCGCACTTAAAACGTGTCTCTCCTCTCACTCAAACTGTGTCCTGTGCACTCTCAAATCTCTCTGTGCTCATGCGCTATAGATATTAATTATTTTCGCACCTATAGATATTAATTCTTTTCGGCGAGAGCAGCGTGTATCTGAGCGCGCGCGTCTGGTTTTGTGCGAGAGCAAGGGAAATCCGCGCGCGAGCGGAGAGATTCGCGCTCGCGCATTGTATTAATGTGCTTTCGCGCTACAATAATGCACACTCGACGTTTGGCAGTAAAATGACGCCATACAGGGCCGGCGCGCGGCACGGAGCGCTCACACTAGGCAAACGAACCGGGCTTTGGGGGTCAAACGCACTCGGGCACGGTTCAAAACGCCTAGTGTGAGTACACCCTTAGTTAATATATAATGAAGAACATGCAAAAATTATTTGTAGTATCATGCTATGCGTAAACGTGCATGTCAGTTAAAATATTGGTGTGTAAAACTACAAAATTATATATGTCCTGCTTAAGACCGATGCCAGTCTTTATCATCAGGTTAATAATGACCCATCTAGACTGTTGAAGAGCTCCTTTGTAAAGGACAGCTCCTTAAGCCTATTATGACCAGCTTAGATAATATTTATATTCACATAGGTTAATCCCTGCCAGATATTTCTGAAACGTTTGAGCCCTTCACAAATTTTTTTATTAAGACATTTACAATGTCTTACAATTTATTGTCAATTAAGATAAAAATTCTATAAACATATAAACTAAATCAAAGACACTAAAAAACACGCAAACTACAAAATGTTAATTGCTAAACATTGAATGTCAATGCCAGTTTTGAAGTTCAAAACTAATCAGGACGTCCTTATGTAATGCATTAAATTAATGGCAAAAAAACAAAAAGCAAATGAAAAATATGAGGGTTATATGGATACCTCTCCCCTCCTTCGAAGCTCAGTCTTTAGGAAGCATCCTAAAGTGAAGGTAACCGCTCCACCCAGAGTTGCCAACCATGAGAGCAGCCACAAACCCTGGGCCAGCTTGGCCCTTTTCTGAAAAGTGAACTTCATCTTACCCACAACCATTGTGAAAGAGTATTGTGGTGTAAAGCCGAGAAAAAGGAAGACTAGTAGAGTGTGGAAAAAATGCAGAAGTGTTCAAACGTTGTCGAAATGCGAACTCTCTGAAAGAGGTGCTGAGAATCAGACTGAAACTGCTGGAGCTTCAAATTATCTGTGAAAAAATAGGTAACTTGGTGTAAATCCGTTAAGTTCCCTTTCTTTGTTAGAATACGAGATCAATTCAGTTTCATCCAAACAGCGCAGCCGATATTCTGTATGTTGTTGTCATTTAATCTGTTAGCAAAGGTCAGTCCAGATTTTTTGGTGGTGATCCCCCCGTAGCGATGCTAAAATGAGCCAGATGCCCACTCAATGGTGAGAGTGGTGCCCTTGCACCTCCATGCCCATGGTTGGGTGAGACACACTGGATTTGGCCAAAGTTAGAGGTCTTGGGCGTCTTACCTGTAATCCCTAAACTATCCTATTACAACGGCCCTTTCCAATGGGAAACAAGGCCACTGTCTGCTTAGCAAAGCCAGTGGTGCATCGCTGCATTGCGTCACGTTTGTAGAGGATAAAGATGATGAATAACGACAAGGAAGAGATTGGAAGGGCTGTGATTTGCCTTCCTTCAAAGTTCAATCTAGTTATAGGGAGTCTCAGAAGTGAAGATAATCAATTTATTGAGGCATGAGAGCAGCCATAATTTCAGCGCCAACTTGACCCTTCGCAAACAACTCATTCATTTTAAAATGTGGCTCATGTAAATGAAAGGGCAGGTCCTGTTCTTGTACTTAAATGTAAAAACTATAACGCCATTTAGACAGTGTGCCTAAAAAACTGTAATTTATACATCATTTATTTTTATTGATTTTCTGCACTTTCTAACCTTAACCCATTTGTGGAACGGATGGCAAAATGTTATTTATCAATGAACTTCACTCTTAAAAAATTAAAAGAAATAAAGTATTCACCCTTTATGGGAACCTAGGACCTTTTTATAATAATAATAATAATAATAATAATAATAATAACAATAATAATAATTTATTACAATGTAATAAAATCAAGTCATTCTTAAATCTTCTCAGCTTTTTCACTAAATAGTCGTTTGCAGCCTGTTTGCGGTCCTAGCAAACATCATTGCCCTTCACGTTTTGTGTGATAGATGAGAAATAGCTGTTTTTGAACTTTGCTAAGAAATCATTGGCTTTTGATTTAAAGGGGTCATATGATGCTTTTTTAAAGATCATTATTTGGTGTAACAAAATATGTTGACATGCTTTAATGTTCAAAAAACACATTATTTTTCAAATACTGTACATTATTGTAGGTCCTATATACCCCGCCTCTCTCAAACGCTTCGTTTTCTACAACGTCCCTCCTTCCGACAAGCGCAGTCTGCTCTGATTGGCCAGCTGACCCAGTGCATTGTGATTGGCCGAACACCGCAAGCACTCGTCGGAAATGTAACGCCCCTTACCATAATCGCGAGCTTCATCTTTCAAAATAAATGTAAAGACAGTAAA